CTGGAAGAGCATATGGAAGAAGCACCACAGCAGCCTCCCTGAACAAGACCCAGTAATCATCACAATGGCAGACATTCAAGAGAGGGGCTCAAGTATGGAGAGCTGGACAGCACCAGGCCCTGGCATGATCCACGCCTGCTGGTTAAAGAAGCTAACTTCACTCCATGAACGCCCGGTGGGACAAATGAACCAGCTACTAATGGATGGAACCCACCCTGAGTGGTTAACTGAAGGCCGGACAGTCCTGATCCTGAAGGATTCTCAGAAAGGAGCAGTATCAGGCACATGGCTCAATACATTAGCAGCGCCCAGAAAGGAACTGGTAGTAACACCAGAGGAGCAAAGCACCAGCTACTGGTTGATAAAGTAGTCACTCGAGACTGCAGGACCAGGCATACCAACCTGTGCACTGCCTGGATTGACTACAAGAAAGCTTATGACTCAGTGCCTCACACATGGATCCTGGAATGCTTGGAACTGTACAACATTGACAAGACTCTAAGAGCGTTCATCAAGAACTCAATGGGAATGTGGAAAACAACTCAGAGGCCAACTGCACAAGTCAACATCAAGTGTGGTATCTACCAAGGAGATGCTCTGTCCCCGCTGCTGTTCTGCATAGGCCTGAACCCCCTGAGCCAGCTCATCACCAAGAGTGGTTATGGATACCGACTACGGAATGGAGCAACCATCAGCCACCTCCTCTACATGGATGACATCAAGCTGTATGCCAGGAGTGAACGAGACATTGACTCACTGATCCACACCACTAGGATCTTCAGCCAGGACATTGGATAATGGATAAGTGTGGTTGAATGGTAACTAGGAGAGGGGAGGTAGTCAGAACTGAGGGGATTGTACTACCAGAAGGCAACATAGCAGATGTTGAGGGCAGCTACAAGTACCTTGGGACCCTGCAGACAAATGGTAACCATGAAAAGGCCGCAAGAAAAGCAGCAACTATCAAGTACCTGTAGAGAGTAAGGCAAGTGCTGTGAAGTCAGGTGAATGGAAAGAACAAAGTCTGGGCGATTAACACCTACGCCCTGCCGGTCATCAGGTAACCCGCTGGCATAATAAGTTGAAAGAGGAGATAGAGGTCACTGACATCAAGACAAGGAAGCTCCTTACAATGCACGGTGGGTTTCACCCCAAGTCCCTCATCCTGAGACTGTACACTAAGCGGAAGTAAGAAGGCCGAGGATTAGTGAGCGTCAGAGCCACTATCCAGGATGAAACTACAAAGATCCATAAATACATCAGGAAGATGGCTCTGAGTGATGATGTGCTTAGTGAATACCCCAGGCAGCAGAAACCAAAGGAACTAGGGAAGATGGAAGGACTCGTCAACAGGACTAACTCTGACTTTGCACGTTCTGCTGCTTTATGCTTTACGACGACTTGGCTCAGCGACTCCATCACGGACATTGCAATCCAGCGCCGAGGGATTAGCTCTTGGGCTAACATACACAGCAGCCAGAAACCGAGCACTATGTTCTGTGGCTAGATAATAGGACCGGCATTTCAGCAATAAAAACTCCACTTCTGGCGAACAGTTCTGAGATATATATATTAGAGCACAGCATTCTCTGATTTCCCATTGTGCTGTAATCCTAGCTCTTAGCTCGTCCAATTTGTTTTCCAGAGACTGTACATTAGCTAGGAAGAGGCTCAGTAGTGGCGGTCGGGTATCACAAGCTTTTAGCCTAGCATGGAGCCCTCCTTTCTTGCCCCGTTTGCGTCTCCGGGTCGCTCTCCTGATTTCAGCCTGCTCTCTCATGCCTGGTGCTTCGGAAGGAAGAGCAGGAACCCTCATGGAAGAACAAACCTCCGCATGGTATGTACCACCGTCAAATAGAAGAAGTTGGCTGATATTGAAAAATCCTACTAGTGGCTGGACTGAAAGAGAGCACATAGGCACTAATCGTGGCAGCAAAGGAACAGGCTCAAAGTACAAGATCAATAGAGGCTGGGGTCTACCATACCAGGCAGGACCCCAGGTGCAGGCTGTGCAAAGATGCCCCTGAGACAATCCAGCACATAACAGTGGGGTGCAAGATGCTAGCAGGCAGGGCATACATGGAATGCCATAACCAAGTGGCTGGCATAGTGTACAGAAACATCTGTGCCGAGTACCAACTGGTAATGGCCAACCAACTGGACATAGTAGTGGTGGACAAACAGGAAGTAGGCCGTAGTGATAGATGTAGCAATCCCAAGTGATAGCAACATCAGGAAGAAAAAACACAAGAAGCTTGAGAAATACAAAGGGCTGAAAGAAGAGCTAGAAAAGATGTGTAAGGTGAAGGTACAAGTGGTCCCTGTGGTAATAGGAACATTGGGGGCTGTGACCCCCAAACTGGGAGAGTGGCTCCAACAGATCCCAGGAACAACATCTGAGATCTCTGTCCAGAAGAGTGCAGTGCTAGGAACAGCTAAGATACTGCACAGGACCCTCAAGCTCCCAGGCCTCTGGTAGAGGACC